GGGCAGGGATGAAGGAGTTCAATGATGCAAACTATTGGAGGGTTGATCAAGAGGTTGCAGTATTGGAGTAATGATGGGTATTCCTGATTTGGGTCGTTTGAACCTGAAATCTGGGATCTGGCGGCCGGAGATCCAATTTTTCGTTTGACAAGGGGTTATGCAGCAATCATATGTACAGAGTATTTTTGTATCAACAGGGATTTGTGCAGTAGGATGTGTCGTGGTCTTTTACTGATTATTTATTGTTTCACTTATTATTGTTCATTAGTCAGGGCTTTGTTTTCCACCTGTTACTGATTTGTGGGGTTTCCCTTCTCTTTCATGAGATTAATATTTGTTCTAAGTCTCTCAATTTGGACCCTCAACCCTATCAGTCTCTCATTAATTTCACATCTTGTTCAGGCTATGGCCTCAGTTTCATTTTATCCTCTCAACTATTCATAGAACAGGTTGTTACACTTTGCACTTATAATGGGGGGAGTTGGTACAGTGGTTTAAACTTGAGAACTCTCAGTTTGTGTAAATAATGTCAAATGCTGTATATGTACTCAAAATAGCCGTCCAAAACTCTATGAATGAGGACTAAATTAGATATTTTTTTTATGAGTGATGTTATAGAGATGTAATTTTGGACATAATTAAGGATATAATTCATTGGAGTCTATAAATTTGTTGTGAGTTATAAGGTTGGATAGAGTTAATTTTTAATTCAATAGTTGTAATTGATTAGGTATTCAGTTCTTAAAATTAGGTCTAAATAGTATTTTTCTGTTTTTATAGTTTTGCCTGCTAGGCTATTTATGTTCAAGAAATAATGATTTGTGTTGTAATAAATTTTTTCAGTTAGAGATGTAAAGTATTTCAATCAATAATCAATGGATAAAGTGAAATAGAACCATAAATAAGTGGGGCAAAATATAAATATTTTTTCTTGATTGAATTATACGTATGATCCTTAAATTATAATCTTTGTGTTAATTAAGTTACTAATTTTTTTTTTATGTCAATTGAGTTCAAAACTATGTCAATTGAACTATTAAATTCTCTAATTGTGTCTAGGGATGACAGTGGACCGAAGTAAGGGCAAGGGGTGTAATCTCCATTCCCGTACTTGCTTAAAAAAACTTTGTCTATCTTCTGTCCATCCTTATTAACAAGTATAATTTTCATTCTTAATCCCGTTGACGGGTAAATTTTTAATCCCCGCTTTCTACCTCGCCCTGCCTCCTCCACTTTACCCCCCCTCCAACCTACACATAAGCCAACATAACCCAAAATTCTAAATAAATTTAACATTCTAAATAATCCAATATAATTATAGAATATCATAACATAATTAAAAACTTATCATTTACAATATAATCTAGCATAATATAATTAAAATCATGTCTACAGTATAATCCAACATAATATAATTAAAACATTGTTTACAGCATAATCTAACATAATATAATTAAAAACTTGTCTCCAATGTAAATCCAGTATAACATCATGTAACACAACATCTATATAATAAAGTAGTTTACAATTTAAATCGTAAAAAATAAACAAAATAACTTTTGTTATTCGCGGTTGAGATCGTTTTAAATTTTATTTTAAAGTTAATTTAACGGCTAATATTAACACCTTAAATTTAATAAAGAAAATAGGCCATAAGGATGTGTTTGAAATGACTTTTCAAAAGTTCTTTTAAAAATTATTTCTCATAAATACTTTAAAAAAAAATAGTATTTGAAATCGTTATACCACTACCACTGCCGCCACTACCACCACCACCATCACCACCACCATCATCTCTATCGCCACTACCATCACCACCGCTATCACTCTCGCCGCCATCACAGTCATTGCCATCCACCATAACTATCATCGTCTCCTACGACCACCACTGTCACCCACCCACCTCTCAACCTTACTACAAATCGATGCTTAAATTCATTTATCTTTTCTTTATATTTGTGATTTGATTTTGAATATGAATACAAATATGTTTATTGTTTAAAATTTTTTATTATTCAGTGCCTTCAGGCATAAACAATAACTAATAATGTAACATAACATAATCTAACATAAAAATACAAAAATTCACATTTTTACAATCCAAAAATATGAAAAAAAAATTAAAAAATAAAATAATTTTCAAAAANTTTTCTTGATTGAATTATACGTATGATCCTTAAATTATAATCTTTGTGTTAATTAAATTACTAATTTTTTTTTTTATGTCAATTGAGTTCAAAACTATGTCAATTGTACTACTAAATTCTCTAATTGTGTCTAGGGATGACAGTGGACCGAAGTAAGGGCAAGGGGTGTAATCTCCATTCCCGTACTTGCTTAAAAAAACTTTGTCTATCCTCTGTCCATCCTTATTAACAAGTATAATTTTCATTCTTAATCCCGTTGATGGGTAAATTTCTAATCCCCGCTTTCTACCTCGCCCTGCCCCCTCCACCTTACCCCCCCTCCAACCTACACATAAGCCAACATAATTCAAAATTCTAAATAAATTTAACATTTTAAATAAATCCAATATAATTATAGAATATCATAACATAATTAAAAACTTATCATTTACAATATAATCTAGCATAATATAATTAAAATCATGTCTACAATATAATCCAACATAATATAATTAAAATCATGTTTACAGCATAATCTAACATAATATAATTAAAAACTTGTCTCCAATGTAAATCCAGTATAACATCATGTAACACAACATCTATACAATAAAGTAATTTACAATTTAAATTGTAAAAAATAAACAAAATAATTTTTGTTATTCGCGGTTGAGATCGTTTTAAATTTTATTTTAAAGTTAATTTAACGGCTAATATTAACATCTTAAATTTAATAAAGAAAATAGGCCATAAGGATGTGTTCGAAATGACTTTTCAAAAGTTCTTTTAAAAATTATTTCTCATAAATACTTTTAAAAAAATAGTATTTGAAAACGTTATACCACTACCACTGTCGCCACCACTGCCACCACTACCACCACCACCACCATCATCTCTATCGCCACTACCATCACCACCGCTATCACTCTCGCCGCCATCACAGTCATTGCCATTCACCATAACTATTATCGTCTCCTACGACTACCACTGTCACCCACCCACCTCTCAACCTTACTACAAATCGATGCTTAAATTCATTTATCTTTTCTTTATATTTGTGATTTGATTTTGAATATGAATACAAATATATTTATTGTTTAAAATTTTTTATTATTCCGTGCCTTCAGGCATAGACAATAACTAATAATGTAACATAACATAATCCAACATAAAAATACAAAAATCCACATTTTTACAATCCAAAAATATGAAAAAAAAATTAAAAAATAAAATAATTTTCAAAGAAAAAATCATTCAATAATATTATGTAGATTTGTATTTATAACATATGTATAATAATAATAATAATAATTATAAAAGGGCAAGGTTAAGTTTCAATCCTTCCCCACACGAGTTTATATGAATATCTCCGTATATATTTATCATTCAATACATATAATTCATCTATGATCAAAACAAGATAAATTTGGACGGACATCTATTTTTATCTAGTCTACTGTTATTCTTAATGTGTCAATTGAATCCTTTTCTTTTGTCTTGCTGTATAGTCACACGAGTGGCACATTCCAACGGAGATAGACAAGGAGGACTCGATTGACACAACAAAAAAATTTAGAGGTTCAATTGACAAAAAAATTTGATGNATTCATTTATCTTTTCTTTATATTTGTGATTTGATTTTGAATATGAATACAAATATATTTATTGTTTAAAATTTTTTATTATTCCGTGCCTTCAGGCATAGACAATAACTAATAATGTAACATAACATAATCCAACATAAAAATACAAAAATCCACATTTTTACAATCCAAAAATATGAAAAAAAAATTAAAAAATAAAATAATTTTCAAAAAAAAAATCATTCAATAATATTATGTAGATTTGTATTTATAACATATGTATAATAATAATAATAATAATTATAAAAGGGCAAGGTTAAGTTTCAATCCTTCCCCACACGAGTTTATATGAATATCTCCGTATATATTTATCATTCAATACATATAATTCATCTATGATCAAAACAAGATAAATTTGGACGGACATCTATTTTTATCTGGTCTACTGTTATTCTTAATGTGTCAATTGAATCCTTTTCTTTTGTCTTGCTGTATAGTCACACGAGTGACACATTCCAACGGAGATAGACAAGGAGGACTCAATTGACACAACAAAAAAATTTAGAGATTCAATTGACAAAAAAAATTTGAGGGATTTAATCAACACAAATGTGATACTAGTCATCTTTTCTTCGTCTACCGAGTAAGTTCAAGGAAAGAACAACTATATCCTCCCTAAAGCCATTGGGTAATTCCAAAAAATTGAAAAACCATTGACTGGACAATTGTGCCCCTCAAGTCACGCCGCCTCAAACTCGCGGCCTATAAAAACCAGACCCTCTGGTCTACTAGTTCGGCCATTCAACGCGATCACTCTGAAGAATTAGGGCTAGAGTCTAGGGTTTACGAAGGAGAAGAAGATGATAGAGGTGGTGTTGAACGACAGGCTGGGGAAGAAGGTTCGGGTGAAGTGCAACGATGACGACACCATCGGCGACCTCAAGAAGCTCGTCGCTGCCCAGACTGGCACGCGAGCCGACAAGATAAGGATCCAAAAGTGGTACAATATCTACAAGGACCACATCACCCTCAAGGACTACGAGATCCACGATGGCATGGGTCTTGAACTCTACTACAACTAATCTTCATCGTATGTAATTCCACACACGACTCTCTCTCTCTCTCTCTCAATTATGTCTATCTGCATATGCATACACGCAGTATCGGCTATTGAACTAAGTTTATNTACAACTAATCTTCATCGTATGTAATTCCACACACGACTCTCTCTCTCTCTCTCTCTCAATTATGTCTATCTGCATATGCATACACGCAGTATCGGCTATTGAACTAAGTTTCTTGATCCTTTATTGTCCAGATGATTACCTTGTATCTGGTTTTTTGCATTTTGGTTGCGTTTAATTTGATGAATCTGATTTATGACTTCTGTTATAATTTTTGAAATTTCGGATCAGAATTCACGCGGTAATTTAGTATTCATGAAATTTGTCGGCTGAATTAAGATTCGACTTCTGTTAATGGCCTATATGGTTTTGGAATGCTGTTTTAGATTGGAGTCTATTGATAGATGGAACACGATCAAATCAAGGCTCGAAAACATGTATTCACACAAAAACATGTGTTTTGACAAGTCTGGGTTGACGTTTGTGGACTGCTCTGATCTTTGCGAACATATGCATGTAGACCCTATTCTCTTGGCCGCCTTCTTGTTTTGTTTACTGTGATACATAATCGAATGGTATTGCTCTTTCTACCTCTGGAGGAGTTGGATTCTTAGATGGTTAAAAAGACTGGCAGATTAGACAAATAAGAATTAGTTGCACAATTTTCTCCAGTGATTCTAAAGACATGCTTGCGTTTGAATTACCTTGAGTATGTTTCTTCCATATTTTATGGTAAATTTTTGTTGCATACTATTTTGAAGCTTATAAA